CCATCCAACACATTTTAATACTTTTATTCTAATAAGCAACATAAAGACCGGATGATGCAACCACATGCTTGTTTCACTGTTAAACATACATTAAACACACTGTGTTCGAGGAGTCGCTAGGCTTCGTTTGTTACTAATTGCAACAAATGAATGGCTCACTACAGCACATTATGTGTATAAGGCATTTCCTACATAAGTATGCTTTGTATGTTAACACAAATAAAATGTCTATTTAGTGTTTTAGGTGTTACCGATGATGCTTAACCAATCATTTGCAAGCACACACAGAAATACTTAATGCATTATCATAAAGACACAACATTAGCATATTGTCTTAAGGTTCTTCTTCTTATCTCCCGTTATTGGTTTAAATGCATGAATTGGATTTGTTATCAGATCATACGGAGTACTTTAGCCATCAAATACATTCAAGACAGAACAGTACACTGCATCCAGTTATGTTATTTATACGTTATTAGATACTATATGTGAATGAAAAGTATTGAAATACAATCAATAAATGTTGTATGATTTTGATAACCTAAACTTTTAATTATCCCAAGCACTAGAAAACATAAATATTGACAACCACCCTGCTCAATTTGAGTTCTTACCTCATATCAGTCTTCTGAGAGAAAGACAGACTGAGAGGCAAGACATAAGACCGGAAAAGTGCTATCTTGTTGACCGTAATCTACAAGAGGTTGCATGGCCTGTATGTATCCGTCACAATTTCCCTGTGTGTGTGACCTCAGTGCCAGCTGTTCCCTGTGGCTGTGTATCTGAGCTTCAGCACAATGGCCTTTGAGTAACCCGATTGTTGTGTGTCTCTGTGTCCCCGCAGTACAAACAAGTGGAGCAGTACATGTCCTTCCACAAGCTGCCAGCCGATATGAGGCAGAGAATCCACGACTACTACGAGCACCGGTACCAGGGAAAGATGTTCGACGAGGAGAGCATCTTGGGAGAGCTGAACGAGCCGCTCCGAGAGGTGGGATCACTTTTCCTGTCTCAAGAAGCTTTTACACATTCAGAAGCTTGTGTACTGCTTGACATTACCCTCAGTTCAACTCAGTTTCGTTATTTTCTCGAGGCCAAATCCAAACCAGAGTAAAATTGAAAGGAGCTCAGAAAAAAAACTAAGAAATGTCGACACGGCGGACATTTCTTGCTGTTTAAATATCCTCTTTTATCTGAAAATGGTGACAGGCCAATGCCTTTTTCTGCTGTTCTCGCTAACTGCTGTCTCTGTGTTTTCACGCAGGAAATCATCAACTTTAACTGTCGAAAGCTGGTGGCGTGCATGCCTCTGTTTGCCAACGCCGACCCCAACTTTGTCACCTCCATGCTAACCAAGCTGAAGTTCGAGGTGTTCCAGCCGGGAGATTATATCATCAGGGAGGGCACCATCGGAAGAAAAATGTACTTCATACAACATGGGGTCGTCGGCGTACTAACCAAAGGCAATAAAGAGACCAAGCTGTCAGATGGCTCCTACTTTGGAGGTAAGAGGAGCTGGCGCTGCACCAGAAACACAAAAGGTCACATACACACACATCTTTCTGCGGGGCTTAAATCTGCTCTGTTTTAATATTAATAATGCTCTCCTTTGTTACCTAGCGTTTGGGTAATGCTGTTCTGGCTTTGATATTAGCTCAACAAGAGAATTAAGTGGTATTTTGTGTAGTGTTTGTCTGCTCACTTAAAATTCTGCTTCATGGTTTATGCAGGACTTTTCTCTTAATTCACATCATGAGCTGTCTCTTAAATGTAGGGCAAACGCAAATTAAGAAAAAAGTACTTGCTGCAGTGCAAATTAAGAAATATGCATTCAAAGGTCAAACGGGTCCGACAGCTGAGAAATGACATGCTATATGGATTGTGTAATAACCCCGAGTTGTTATGTACTCAACTCGTCTTATGTTCTTAATCAGGGTCAGATAATGCGGACCCTCTCATGTTCCCACAGAGTCTATGACACATGTAGGAGACAATGCTGGCATACTGCCCTCACCGAATGCCAATTAATTTACCCAGTGACAGCGTATCATTTGGTCTACACTGTTAAGTAATGAGAAATGGTGGCAGAGCATTTAACAGCACGTGACCTGCCTGTGGAAGTTTAATTACGCCTTGCCTGCTCAAGTCCATCTCCATGCCCTCTCTCTGGGGGGTTCCAGAGAAGTAATGAAAAGATGGCAGGCAATCTATCTCTACACATGCCAAACCTAATCAACATTTTAGACAACATGGCCCCAGCTCTCTTCAGGGCCATGTTGTCCAAAATGTTTCCTCCTTGGCAAGGCAGAATTGAGACTTAAAGAGAGCTCATACATTTCTTTCCAGCACAAGCTCCACGGAAATGACACAGCTCAGACATTTGGCCAACTAAAGAAGCTAATCTAAGTGCATTAAGTAAATGCATCAGATTTGTCTTTGCTTCCTTGAGTAGACAGGAGTTATTTTACTCTGCAAATGCTCTGGTTTTTGATCAGAAACTGGCCTGCTGAATTTAATCTTAAGCCTTGGATCTGTAATTATTAGCGAGGGACAACGCTTCTGACTCCATTATCCTGTGACTATTCCTGGCTGTGCCACTCCTCTGGGGGGGTGGGGGTTAGTGAGGTAAGCCTAGAGCCACTGGGAGTTTGTTACCAAACACGAGTTAGTCATTCATGAAATTAATTGGTGCAGGATCAGCACAGGGAGTATGTGGCACATGTGTGGCTGTCAGTATCAACAAACAGGAAGTCTGAAATGTTTTTTACAACATGTGCAGAACACGGGGGCCCGCTGCACGTGCACGGCTCTGACTCTCCGTTGTGCTTGTGGAGGTGTAAGCATGTGAAAGTAGCGCAGCAGCCTTTCTGTTGTCTTGTCTTTTGTCAAACACACTCAGCTTCAGCAGGTTCCAGTTTACAGTACAGCAGATGGTAAGCTCATCAAACTCAAGCACCCTAACTCATTTCATTCATTGACTACCTGAATTATTTACACAATTATATACTCCACAGTCTGCTCCAGTTTGTTAGCTGCTGGATTGGCTCGAGCCAGAGAGCCTAAAGTCTAAAGTGGACACGACATGTCCTGGATGGGAGCGTCGTTCGGGCACACAGCGATCTAGTGGAGAGGGGAAATGTAATGTGACTGCGGTACTAACGCCAAGGGACACATGGATCCCTGCCAAGCCCGCTCTCTGGATGCTGCTCTGGGCTCGGAAAGAAAACATGCACCCTCCACCCCTCACCTCCACTTCCCTCTTTCTCTCCTTATAATTCAGTATTGAAACACTTATCTGAACAGCATCTCCGCTGCCCTCTCAGTGCCCACACAGAGCAGGTTATTGTGTTGTTAGAGTTCATCCTTTGTTGCCTGCAGAACTTGATGTGATGCCAGGGCAGACTGTGCCTTTTTCTTGTATGGGGCAGAGCTCAGTGACCTCGTGGTGGCCCCACTTGCCAGTCAGGGGTGCTTATCAAATACAGCCTTAGATAGCCCCCCTAAGATGGCTCACTTTGCTTCTGAGTGAGTGACTTGTAGCGGCTCTGTGAGTGCGGGTTAAGGAGGAAAGTAATACAGAGTCAGAGAGTGCGAGTACCAAGTTATAAGGGGGAATAAGTTGACTGCAATCTTCCGTGTCATCTTTTTGAACGGTGATCTTTTTATCCGTCATCTCCTCAAGTCCAGGGTCAGGGAAGTAAATCTCCCTCCATCTCATTTCCCCTTTTTTTCCATTTCCCTCCCTCTTAGAGCTCAGACATGGCTGTGCTATAGAGCTGTCAAATGGCCACCCTGACTGAGTGAGTCAGTGAGAGAGGCTGGCAGCAGCAAAGGACCAGGTAATCCTCCTGGTCCTTAACCCAGTTAACACCACTGCTCCTCTTGTACTGAAGCAGCATCAGCTGAAGATCGAGGCACCGTGGCCCGCTGACGAGTGACAGAATGGGGGATATGAAGATGTATGGAGTGGTCTTTTGTAACATAATGACAGGATGATGCAGTGTTCTCCTATGATGTATGATGTGATACACTCCATTGTGAGACTTGCCTCAACCCAACAGGGTGCAATGCAGGCGCCTAGATAGGATTATAGAGTGATGCCACAAAATACACTTTAGCAGTTTGAAGAATAAGAAGTACAACGTGGGAGGATATTAAAGGTTGTCTTTTACTTTTCCAAACAGTAAAAGCTTCGAATAGCGTCCATCTAGATAAGAGGGGTTATTAATACTTTTCTTTCACTGAGGTCCACATACAGATAAAATATACGACTGCCTGGGCCACTCACTAGAGGAGAGGTAGGTTGCCTCATAAGTTAAGTAATAAGTTAGCAAAATCAATCAAATGTAGCTCAATTTAGCTTGATAATGTAATATGACAAGTGTAAGTGGTGCTATTAGGATTGGCAAAAGAAGAACTAGAATAAAGTGAAATGCAGGAGGTTGATAAAAATAATTTAGTGTTCAAAGCAATACTCAAAGTAAAACCTTTTTTTTCTGCGTCAATTAAGGATTATGTGTTAGTAATGACTTGAAAAGTACAATATACCTTTGTTACTTCACGATTATTGAACAACAAAAGAGTTGATTTGCATGTTTGTATTTAGATAAACATCTTCTCGTCCTTGAAGCCTGTTTTATCGTGTCTTTGCCTCACTTATATAATCAGCCTGAGTTAAGGGAGGGGAAAAGAGACAAGAAATGTGACGGGACCTTAGCATTAGCTAGAATGGATGTTTCAAATCAACTTGGCCAATTTTGCGCATGTGCTTCCTATCCCAAGACGATATCCTAACCCTAAACATGTCCCTCCTGACCATCTGCTCTCACATTTACCCAACAGCCACAGTGCAGAAAAAAGAAAAAAAAATCCTTTACCTTTGCATGCTAGCCAAACATAAGGTGTTGCGCAGCTATGCTAATGCGGTGAGGGAGCTAGCATGGCATGTCACGGGGAATCAGGCAACCCACTGTGAATGTTTGAAAGGTTAGAGAGTGTCCCCTCCGTGGGCTGGGGGCCGCGTCGGAGAGCGAGATGGGAGCTGACAGCAGGACTCAGATTCCAGGTGAGCTTTGCAAGAGCAGGCTGCAGGACATACTTTATCACAGACATCGCTGCAGTCCTGCTCAGACTCATTAATTCCCATCCATGCACACTTAGGAGCAAAGAGGAAGATAGGTATGCACACACAGAATCACATGCAGATACATGCACACCGAGACCTATTTAAAAAGCACATTTAAAGGCCAACATTTGCATTCCCTCAGATTCATGCAAAGGAGTATCATCAGTCACACGCACACTTTAAAGTGGCTCACTCCCTTCTGGGCTAAAGATCTGTGATTAGGATCTGGGTTTGGTTCAATATCAGTGATTTTCATCAAAATAATATTGCCAAACTGTCCCCTTTATGGTTGACTCCAATTAATACAGTAATGTAGCTGTGTCTTCATCATACTTTTTATTTGTTCAACATATATCATTTTCAGAGTGACAAGTCATGGATTGCTGTTTTCAGTTGTACCTTGAGCAGAATTACTATTCATAACTACATTTTAACTTTAAGTTTCTTCCATCAGTGTGTACTTTGTAAAATCGAACAACTCATGCTTTGTCTTTCTTAGAAAATCTACTTTGGGTATTCAGGTTGTTTTTTATTTGCTCGATTGTTCCTATTCTTTTAGTTCCTTATTAACCCTTGGATGCACGAGTGACTGGACCCTACACTCTTCCATAAGTGGGTCTAAAAGGAACCGTATTAGAATAATATGTGTTTTTATGACATTTTTGTCATTTTGGTTAAGAAAAATCACTTTTATAATATTTAGTATTGTATTTTGGTTCACATTAGAAATATGTTATGATTAATTTTTCACAATTTATAATTTTAGAAAAAAAAATTACATTTAAAAAAAAAACCGTTTTGAACATATTGTCCCAAAGATCTCTGCTATTCTGAGACCCTCACAGTATTCCAGTCCCTTTTCAAAACTCATCTCTTCTCTTGTCTACTCATAGCCCACCCCCCATCAATCCATGCCGGTTGATCAAGTTTGATGGTCCTATACCCCCCACCCTAACCTTCCCTTATATTGTAAAGCGATTTTGAGTCCTTGAAAAGCCCTATACAAATATAATGTATTGTTATTATTATACTGACAGGTATCAGATCTTGCTGTGTAAAATAATCTTCCAGAGAGGTGTCACGTGTGATGTAGTCTGTGTGGCCTCCAGTGAATGTATTCCTGACTGCCACAGGTGATAAGAATCAAAGGTTCCCATAGGGTTCCATAGAAAATGCATGCGGGCCATTTTTGACCCACTTATGGAAGCTTGGGGTAGAAATACAAAAACTACAATTTCTTAAAATGTATAACATTTAAAATGTGAATGGCATGATATCCAAAACATGTTTTTTGAGGAATAGCTGGAATATGAAATGATAAAAAAATGTAATTAAAAAGATACTTCAAGAAAACCACCTCACCGGGTCAAAGAAGACCCACTTATGCATCTAAGGGTTCAAGTCATGGTTCTAGGTATGGATCAGGTCCAGTAAATCTTATATTTATTCTCAAACTGAAGTGGACAACTTTTAATATTTACCTTCCCCTCCTGATGGCCTCTCATTGAGAATCTGAGCCAGAGTCAGCTCTCCGTTGTCTCTCCAGACAACGGAGAGCTGACTCTGGCTCAGATTCTCAATGAGAGGCCATCAGGAGGGGAAGGTAAATATTAAAAGTTGTCCACTTCAGTTTGAGAATAAATANAGTTAAAGTCATTTCTTTAACGTTTGTTCTTTCTCGATGTAAAGTCAAGTTGTAACTGTTTGCAATGAAGTTGTGGGGCGCTGAAACTGTTCCTTTGATTCTTTGATTAATGATAGTAATTACTGGTCTTTCAATTTGAAAGGAGGCGTGAGCAGCATCTGGAGAACATTCATCATTAACTCCTCCAAAAAATATAGTTTAATTTAATAATAACACTGAATATGTGAATCTAACAGTATTGACAGCTGATAGTGAATAATATGATTGTTAATATTTATTATTCATACAGACACACATCGATGAGACAGTTAATTAATGCTACTTATTGTGGCAGTCTGGAATTTGGTACCCGCTGCCTGGTCTAAGAGTTAAACCACACTCATTCACTTAAAATTCATTAAATTACGTGTGCCACCTTATATATTTATATTTAAGGCTTTACTGATGTGCCACAATAATCTCACCTAATGTTATTGAGTTAAAATATCAATATTGTGCCTTTCCAAGTTAACATTGATTGATATGACTGCGATTAAATCAGCATATACTGCTGCCAGGGGATGCCACCCCTGAAATTCTCCTGCCACCCCATGAATATTTGTCTAGTTCCACCCCTGCCTCCACCTAGCTACTTTGAAAAAGTAATGTTCTTTGTTCTGAGGATTTTGTCACTTTAACATTTTGAAGAGTGTAGGGTTCAAAAAATGTTTTGCCGTTTAATGACATTTCTAATTAGACTTAGGTCATTTGAGGATGCAAGACCATGTAGGTTTTTCCTAACTTAGAGACCTTGAACAATCTTGGCTACAACCACATGTTGTACCCCTGTGTTGCCAGTAGACTCCAATAGGAACATATAAATGTCCCTTGTGAGATGCAACAAAAACATTCCAAGTACAATTTATATCAAAATTCCTTAGAGCATTAGAGGAAAGTATGCTTACATAAAGTCATATAAAAAGGCTCATTTTCTGCATTTCAAGACGACAGTACAATTGTGGGAAGTGGTTGCTCCATGAGAAGTTGACAACATCAATTTTGTAGCCTGTATAAGGTCAACATGCAATGTAAGGCATTTGTAAGTTGAGGATTCCTCCAGACTGTAAGAAGGAATGGGATTTAGGTTTAATCAGGTCGTCGCAGATACAAGGCCGAAATGTAATTATTCAGTTCTCTTGTCTTCCCCTGTGTCAATATGAATTACTCACTCTGAAGGATTTAACCAAGGAAAGCCCAGTCATCTAGTGGTAACAGACAAATGGGGCCTTCCTGCATTCAACCGCCAGATAGATGGCTCTAGTATTGCTGAGTCACAGCGAAGCACTCCTAAACTGGAGGCTAAGGCTATCAAATACAAATGCCTACTTAATTATTGACAACTGTTGGATATATTACTAATAAAATGTTAAACAGAGATTAATGAAAAGGAAGAGAATAACTTATGTTAACTTTTTCATGTAGACAATCATCAATTAAAAACTTTAATGCGCAGAATACAATGATTTATGATGGGGATGTCCCGATCACCTTTTTTTGCTCCCGCTCCGATTCCGATCATTTGATTTTGACAATCTGCCGATACCGATTTTTCCCGATCCGATCTTTATGCAATGCATTAAGAGAAAAAAGGTAACAACGCGATGAATTCAGCTATCTTGGCTGTTATGTTTTTGGCCTTTCACTGTACTGGGGCAGTTTCTCTTTCCTTTTAAAAGTCTCTGAAAGTGTTGGTTGTTTCAGTGCCGTTACCTGAGTGGCCACTGTGTACTCGTCGTGTTGTTGTTTGTGTTTGTTTCTCAGGTGGCGTATTAGATTGGTCGTGTTGAACGTAGCTCTGTTCTTTCCACCACGCGGAACCTCCGCCTTGCAAACATTGCATCTGGCTTCGCTTACAATTTCATAATACTTCCAAACTCCTGACATATTCTCTGTCCCGACTCACCAGCTGAACGTAGCCTCTCGTTAGCTTACTGCTACTGTTAGACACTGCGCCCTGCCCACTCTGTTGCCAGATTTGAGAGAAATAAGCAACCAGGTCTATGAAAACAAGCCCAAAAGAAGCAACACATACATGATGTTGTGTCATTTTAAACCGAAACGAAGGCCTCAGGATGACTTTAAGACGTGCTCGAAATGTCTGTTTGTTAACATAAAAAAATAAATTATAAAAAAAATAATATAAATCAAAGAAAAGTATCCCGATCCCTCATTTTTCTCACTCCGGGTATCCGCATGACTCCTTTTGAAATCACAGTGATCGTGCTCGCTCTCCACTAGTTAAATCGAATTCCAATGTGGGTTGTACTGATCTGTGAGATTTTTGTGCATCTCAATGTTATGACTGGCAGTGAATAGTTTGTTTTAAAATAATGATATCATTCCCAACAGGTGCCCGTAAACACATTTGACTGCTGCAGTGCATTTCAATCAAGAAGGACTTGAAAACGGATGGTTATTGCTTATTGTGGGGGACAATACGCCACCGCTCAACCTCAGCAACATGTAGAAGCGTGACTTACGAAACACTGATCTAAATTTGTTACCTCAGACACAGTGAGTGTGAAGGGTGCTGTATTCCTTATATTAGACTCAGTTGCAGTTAAACAAAAAGTAATACATAATATTTATATAATCCGAAGAATCTCCCCTCCGATCGAGTATCGCGCTTTTGAGTAAGCGTGGAGCGAAGATGTCTATGAACAACGATGTTGGCATGCCTATAAACACTGGACCAAATCAAACACCTGAAGTGTGGCGATTACCATTCCTGTATGTAACGTAATGATGCGAGCAAAACGTGGCACCACACATAGCAAAATCACTGTTCTTATTAAAGATATTGTAACTAAAGAACTCATGTGTTCATATTGGTTGATGACGGCGATATCCTTGACTGATATCAAGACTGGTCATCGCTTTGTGGACCGTGTATAATATGGTTAAAACCAGCCAGTTTGTCCACCCAAACATTGTAGACAGGCTCGTTTACTTACATGTCCTGGCATGTGTCTGACGTAGACTGGACAAGGAGGAGCATAGAACCTGACTGGTGCGGACACCTGGCCTTCAATACGAGAATCTATTAGTGTACTGCTCTCGACTATGCCAGATGCAAAAATGGGATAATCTATCATGGTAGATTAGGGTGGATTGAAACCCTAACCCCCATCACTAGTCGGCTGAGCGCGGCATACAGAAGTCTCAGTAGTAGCCTTCGTAGCTGTATGTTGGCAGAATGTAAGAAGAAGAGTATATTTTTTTTCTTGCTCCTCACATTGGTGTATCGGACACATAAATTAAAAACGCAAGAATGACATCCACACTCTTCCAGCTACCAACCCAGCCACAGTCCTCATCATCTGACTTGCCTCTCTCGCAGCTGAGACTGTCGCTATCACTGTAACAAGTCTCCTTTGTCTCGCGCAAAGCAGCTGTAAGAACGGTTTAGATCTAGTTAAAATCTGCGCCACACGAGGCTCTAACAACAACAAAACGACTGCGCTCTCCCACTACAGAACTGATCCAACTTTGTATACACAACTGAAAATGGCAATAGAATAGCGCACATTTGTCTTGTAGTAAAATAAAAAATGGCCGAGCCTTGGCAGCCAATCCTGCAATTTCCACAGATGGTGAAAGAGTGAGATGGGGGGGTAGGGGGGGTGCGACGTTTTCGATTGTTACCACTTGTGCAAAGGACCGCTATTATTCCTGTTTAATTTTACTTTATTCTACCCCTTTCCCCTTCCAATCCTTATTGTGTTGTCCACATCGCAACATTATTTTAACAATAATCCTACATTCTAAAATTCATAGATACGTTATTCCCCCTTTTTCAATCCATGTCTCACATCTCCACATCCATCTCATCAACAAATACCGTAAACAGACCTAAAACATTTTTAAGAAAGAAAAATAATCAATTCAATTTATTTCCGAGTTCTTTGTCTTTCTCTTAAATCATCACATAACCATCGATTCATCTGTTTATTTACATGTATATTAAAGCCATAATATATTCTTTATGTGTCTAAACAATAACTCCGTCCCTTAACGACTAAAACTACTTGTATCAAAAAATCATCAGGTATATTGTTTTCATTTATTTCATATTGCGCTTACTCAATTCAATCTAACCACGGAAATGGTCCGATCCAACAATAATAGCACCAGTGCCATGTTGAAAGTATTAAAGTCTTCTTCTGACCTTATTGAGTCATTGAGTGTCCAGATTTATTGATATATTAAATGCGTGTTCCACTGTCTAGTGTGATAATTAGTTGATCCTGATACACACACGGCCTATGCACAACACAGCGACTGCCAAAACATGTCTCCAACAAAAACCTTTTTTTTTTGATGAGAAGCCGCTGAATTAGCGCGTGGGACCAACACCACACATCAATTGCATTGACCTGGTCTGAATATCAATACATCTGACAGACACGATGAAAGGAGGCAAACCAGATTAGCTGTGTGTTGAGCAGAAAACCGGTTTTTCCATATAGCAGAAAAATAATGACAGTAGTAAGAAATTGAGACACAAGTGGAAGGGGTATTTGAATGTATGGGTATCAGAATAATTGTGCATCTTATTATAATTCAAACATAAATGCTGAGATTACACTCAAATAACGCTTGAAATCTCACTGTATGCGAAACAATATTGATAGTAGGCTGAAACGTGGGCCCTCCACAACTTTATTAGACAGGTTCTGCCATTTTAGCNAAAATATATCATAAAAAGGCAGAAAATTAAAGAAGTAAAAATGACAGTTAAAAAAAGACTTTTTAAAAGCGGTCTATTTTAAACATGTCAACAGAGCTTGCATATCTAATGTAGTCTGGCGTAGTCTTACTAAAGTCTTAGCTAAAAACAGTTTCTCTAGGAAGCCTCCAAACACCAGCATCAGAGGAGCAAAGCACTCTTCCTCCTGGATAAGGAGTTAAATATCCAGGTTGTTTTTCTTTTTTTAACATAGCTCCTAATCTACTGCTCCAGACGCGGGCCCTGCCGTGGATTTTTCCCTCCTCGCTTTTGTTTCTGATGGCTTCTCTTGCTTTCTGTTAGACCGTTAGAGGAGGCCAGAGGCCAGAGGGCTCACGGCCTCATCTTGGCAGTGTGTGCTTCATCCAGAAAGCCACAGGACAAGAGGATTTAATACAGAGCTGCGATGCTCCTCTCCAGAGGGGATTATCAGAGCAGTGCTGGGGGTCCATTTCCCCCTGCACTGCTCCATCCAAGGCTGCCCCACTTGCACTCACTTACAGTGTAGACACACACACACACACACACACACACACACACACACACACACACACACACACACACACACACACACACACACACACACACACACACACACACACACACACACACACACACACACACACACACACACACACACACACTGCAGAGCATGGTATGTTTTGCTCTTTTCCATTCACACAGCTCTCTTGGCCATTGCCCATTCACATCTGTCACATTACACACACTCCAACCCATTGCAGATAACTTTATGTACAGTCCATTGTGCATTCACCCCTGCTCTCTCTCAAATGCATACACGCAAACATTAACACACTGCATATGTGTTTCTGCTTCCTTAAGAGTACATATTGCTCATTCTCTGTCAAGTCGATTTATGCATTTTCCTTCAGTGGTCTCATTTTTCAAGCCATCACACACACTCATAACCACTTGTGAGTCAGTGAACAGAAAAGTGTCCTGTACAATGGAATGTAATCCATTGCAAGCTATGTGTAGTGAATGATATGTACTGTAAGTGAACCATATAGTGTTGACACTGATTTGTGTTTACTCAGCTCTAATGTAATTTTTGATACACTGGTAATGGTGTTTTTTATTGAGAGGTGCTTTTGCAGTACGTTTACACTGCACTCAAAATGCAAGTCATATCAGGGATTTCTTTGTTGTATTTCCAGGTTTGTTGTTTTTGCAAAATGTGTAGTTGAACATGTATTTTCAGGAAGAAATTGGGAAGTTTTTAGAAAGACGATCTACACATAATGTTCTGGTGCATAACGTTTTTAAGTAGATCAATCAGGAGTATTTTGTATCAGTGTATGGGAAATAAACCACAGCCGTACAATACAAATATTCCCTTTGTGACACTTGTCTGAACTATTTATATATATCAGAGGACTGCGAGGACATCTCTCAATGTGATAAAGCCATTTGTCTTCAGTGTAGTACAGGTGTTTCTATTTTTGTTCACAGAGGATAACATTTCGCTCTTTCACACTACTTGTAACACGAGGTTCAATTTCTGTCTTTATTCCCAGACATGTCACTACATGAGGTCCATGTGTGAGCGTAGAGGTGGCATTTCATTGCGCAGCGGGTTTTTTCCTTCCATGTAGCATTTTATGGTCCCTACTCCTTTGCCAGTGGGAGGAGAAGTGCAGTAGGGGGAGTGTCAATGGCAATCGAGCAGCACAGTGCAATTTTAGAGTCAACATCGACAGCATTTTGTGCGATCCACCCAGTAGCTGAACCGTGCACTGCAGCTGGCTTCCATTAAAGATCACACTTTTCCCCATGTCTTACTTTTATCTTTCTCCTACCTGTACACATTTCACAGATTTGCAGAATCTTTCAGAGATGCTGGGTTAAGGGGTGACACTTAAATATCTAGTGCTTAACAGCATCTGTCACCGACAAACAGCTAGCATGCTGTGGCTAATTAACTGAAAGGCTTTCCCTCTCAGTTAATTATCTCCTTATGCAGCTGCCTGATACAGATATCCTTTATAGAAAGTTTTCATCTGCAGTTCCTAACGTGACTGCTGAGCTTTGTCAAACTGCAAAAGACTATATGGATAAATCTTGCACAAACAATTAGCAGGCTGTTACACAAACTGTTGTGTAAGATGTTAAGCTATGACTGATGTTTTGGAACAAAATCATGTCCTTCGACGTCATGTATTAGGTCATTGTCAAGTTGTATTATATTTAACCAAGACTACGATGTTTCCATAACCTTTGCCTTCTTTATGAATATCATGCAGATAGTATGAATGTATCATCAGAAAACAACAGCATTGTTTATAGCAGTCCACATTAATGTGTAGGTTTTGTTAATGTCTTGATAAGAGCACTGCTTAGAGAAGGGCTGTCCTGATTGGTCCTGATTGCTACTAGCCCCCAACACACCCAGGCTCAGTGACAGCATCATGTTTAATCACGCACCCACACACAGCTCAATGTCATCATGCCCACATATAAAAACATTTCCCCCCAAAGAATTGGGTTAGTCATGTTTTAGATTAAAGCCGACATTGCCCCATACTGTGCGAGGAGCCTCTCGCTGTGGCTGCAGGTCAGGCACATGTAAATACAAACCCAAAACACTAGCATTGTTTGTGCAAAAGGGGAAATGGGACAATGGAGTTGTTATGTTCAGAGAGTCAAACTATGCATGAGATTTCTGGAGATAAGTTGGATGAAAAATTCTTTAAAAATGTGATTTGATGTATGCTTCAAGGGGGCGAGGAGCAAAATGCATTCTGCGAGGGAATTGAGAGCATGTGTGTGCGTAGATGACCTGGAAATGGGTTTTTCTCAGAAAGAGGGAGTGTGACAGTAAACACAGGAAGGGAGGGTAGAAGATGGGATGAAAGCTTAGGAGAATAGATATTAGGGATTGTGTGTACATACGCATGGCACACATATGTACGTCAAATTCAACAAACCCCTTTTTCCATATAAATACACACACACATTTATATAAATATGTAAAACATTTTGTATAAAGTTTAAATGAGATAGACTTAATGTTCACCATATTATCCCATACTGCCTTGCACTTATGAATGAAACACTGGCATGCATTAATTTGTTTACATGTTGCACCCACACAAACACTGGCTCCAACATTGACGCCACCAACTTGAATGCATGTACATGGGATATCTGCATACAGTACACACACACAGACACACACTGTCTCTGTGCCAGAGCTCTACGGCAGTGCAGCTTGTTTAATGGAGCATTATTTTCCTGAGCGGGCTTGGCAGATGAGGGCTGGCAGACCTCTAAGCTCTGAAAATAGCATTAAGTGTCTCATCAATGGATTACAGAAAAGTTATAATGCTTAACAATGTAAACAAGCCAACTCTTGAGTTCATGTTTTGCTTTAAAAAGTGTTTTACTTTGTCCCTCAGCATAAAAACAGGTCAGCCTCTTGGTTTAACTTCACTACATCACAATCTTTGTTTGCTGTTTATTTATTGCAGAGATTTGTTTGCTGACGCTGGGCAGAAGGACAGCCAGTGTCCGAGCGGACACCTACTGTCGCCTGTACTCGCTGTCTGTGGACAACTTCAACGAGGTGCTGGAGGAGTATCCCATGATGAGAAGGGCCTTTGAGACGGTTGCCGTGGACAGGCTGGACCGTATTGGTAAGAAAATGAAATCTAAGCGACAACTTCAGAGGGAAGTCTTGAATATTTGTTTTAACTTTACAAAAGATGCTACAAATCGTATTTGTAAAATAAAAAGGCCTCAGTATGTGTCAGAAATTAGCAAACTTGAATATCCCTTCCTTTGTAAAAGATTTTATATTTGCAATTAAAGCTTTCAATTAATCCTCTTTAAGCCATTCAGAATATCAACAAGTGTTCTTCCCTATGTTAGCAGGCGTGATGTATCTCTTTTTATTTTCTAATTTCATTAACTCACTGACACTGATATGAACAAGACAAAGATTTCAATTTACAGCCGAAACTTTAGGGCTGTAAAAACACTGATACTCACGACTGAAATTACTTTCAAAGTCATCTGCATATAAACATGCAGATAGAGCTCTGGTTTTGAAATCCCTGCATGACTTCTCTCACGCATACAATTGATATTCTTTCCATATCCATTGCTGTTCCCAGGCTCAGCCCGAGTAGATGAAAAATTCATAATGAAAGGCACGCCTGTATCATCACTCAGCCCTCGCAGCATGCTCTGTTTTATCCTCAGCTATGTTTAGAATGGAAGATAGAGAAACTGCTTTAGGGGGTCTCTTTGTAGAAAATGGCGGCTTTTGAGAGATGTGGTGGGCTGATAGTGATGTTTCTGTGGGATGGTCTCCGCAAACGTCCTTTCTCCTGGCCTTGATGCTTATGTACACCCTTCTTCCATAATTAAGTCACCCACACAGCAATGATCCACAAATTAATTACCGTCTTGATGGACTTTGCACAATCTGATTGGAGGTGTGCAGATGATAAAGGGTTAGGTAGTGCCAGGGTCAAGCTGAAAGGAGATACAATACCTCCATGCAACATCTCCACTAATCTTCCACCAGTGATATCAGAAAATTGAGATATTGATCCGGGCCTAATTGCATTTACAGTATCCTCGGTTTTCAGAGCCTTTTGTTAGCACCAAATTGAAAATTGCAGTCATGTGAATTAACCCTGTCAACGCTTGTGCGACCATTCAAAAATGATTAATGGACTTTGCGGTCAGAGTTGCACGCATTTCTCTAGGAGTTTGGGTCAGCAGTTAGTTGCCTGTCGTAGTGACGCATCTCTTGTCTGTTTGACCTTGTGCTCAGCTCACAAGGACTTCTGAGAATACGAGTAGCTAAGGTGTTATGAGGTATGCTAATCCCACGACAGCTTTTTCAGAAAAATAAGATTTCAAATGTATCCCTGATTCTTAAAGGTCCCATGTCACGGCCATTTCCACTGATCATAATTCCATTGTTGAGGTCTACTAGAATAGATTTATATTGTGCAATTTTCCAAACTCACATTGGTTTCTCATACAGCATCTCTGTAAACTACGTGTATTCACTGAATTTCACTCTCTGCCTTTAACGGCTCGTTGTAGCTCCAGTAGCTCCAGCCCCCACCCTCCCTGTGAGCACAGGTTTGGTCGGGACGTTTTGAATGCGCTAAGCTCCGTGGAGGTGTGGTTTCCTTGTTTAGCGACAGCGAAACACAGCCAAACTCATCCTGAGCACACAAAGTCACAGCCGAAGTAAAAACAATAAGTGTGGCTTGATATTGAGGTAAGAAAGGTTTACCTGTGTCGCCAGAATGGTTGCAGAGAGAATTGCCGCAGATCACCGAAACCCAACTGTCGCCTGTTATCACCTGCAGCCAGGGAGGAGAGAATCAGCAGAGCTGCTTGCACTGAGGTGTGTGTGAGGAATAGTGGATGTTTCAATTTGGACAATCAGCGGGGGCTTAACGTAACGGCTCGGGACGCCGTAATGCTACACCCGGGCTGGATTGGCGCCATTTGGTTCCGCGCTACGATCACACCCGCCCACTGCGTACCCGGAACCAAAACCTGCGCAATGCAGGTACTCGTCAGACCGAGGCGTCCTTCGCGCGCGCAGGTATTTCTCCGTGTTAGAGGTTGTACTCGCTACAGGGTACTTTGAGGGTTTGACTCTGCGACCGTTTACATAAAAACCTTCATAACATCACAGGGGACGGGTAATAACCGGCAGAGCATGACAAGGGATCTTAAGAGCGCCCCCGTTGATATTACCTTCCAATATCAGGAAATAATTAAGAATATTTGTTGAGCCATTATCACAGCTGAGTTCACACTCTATTACCCGGTTACGGCGTCTTTCGATGTACCCAAAGATCCAGCAATAATATCAACACATTCAACGCCTACACCTTCTGCTGTCGTTCTGAATTACTGTCTCCGTAGTTTTCATTTTCTTTATCTTATATATTTGTCTAATTCCCTCCCTTTTTCGACGGAAGCAGGATTGGCCCATTAAAAGAATTTGGGAGGATTGAAAATAAAATGTTTTTTTCTGACTTTTTCCTCACGAACAAAAAAAACAATAATTATTTTGGGAGAAAAAAAAGTAGATTCAGACTTTTTCTCTCAGAGACATAAAAAAACGTGTGGCCTAATCCCTCTTTCCGTACTTCTCCAACTTGTGATTTCAGCGTTACTTCTCTTTATTAATCCTTCATTGGCTTTTCATTTTCATAGATTGGGTTTAATTGTAAAAAGATTGTGGAAAATAGAGTGGTTACTCTAGTACACCCAAACGCCAACTCGGTTTCAATATAAAACATGTTGTGTTTGCTTTTACAGGCCAAGAGAAGAACTCCGTCCTGCAGCACACAGGGCCAGCACGACTCAATTCCTGGTGGAACTCAACTAGCCAGGAGACTGAGAGTCATCCAGCAGATAGTGCAGCATGACAGGGACATGCCCACTGTGCCCACTGTCTTCCAGAACGGTCCCACCCCACGCCTCCTATCAGGCACGACCCCGGTCATCGTGGGCCCACCTCGAATCCAGCCTTCCAGGCAGCAGCCGCCACCACCTCAGTACCCATTGCCCTTACACACCCATCCACCTCCAAAAACTCTTTTTCAAGCATCCGGTTTTTCTCTTCAGGGGGGGGGGGGTGGGTTTAAAGGATCCTCCAACTCCGGTTAAGAAGTTCAACCTTTGTCGTCCATACCACAGCACCTGGGTCTGCTGGGACTCTCCTTGTTAGCCACACCCCCTAAACTGCACTCTGGGTCCGGACATGCCTTTGCTGGCCTCTTTTCGGCCATGCACCGATGTCAGTACAGGGGCAAGCTGGCTCTAGCAACAGGCCTCAGTAGCCGAGACCCCCCCCCAGCATGGAACTACTATGTTACTGGCTCTGGGTCAGTAGAGGAGGGGCCTCTGCTTCCCCATTTGGACCCAAACGGTCCTCTGGTTCAACTTCATCTAGTATCGGCCCAGCTACACCGCAGCCACACACAGCAATCAACAGCGTGTCGCTCACAACACCGCCACCACTCTCAAACTCTTCCGCCAAGGATCTACAGGTGGAGCACGGGTCGGATAGGGAGAGCAGTATGTGACTCACTGTGCTGAGCGACAGGGTGTCTTCAGGTGGAGCTGGTTGGCGGTTCTGTAGAAGGAGCAACAGGAGGAGACACGGCTTGGGGCCGGAGAGACTTAAACAGGAACCACTCCCAGGGGTTTTTCTCACTTTGGTTGCGGAGAACTACTGGCAGATCTTTGCTAGTAGAGATCCTTCAGGGAATCACTTTGGAGGGGATCCCTCGAAGGATCAGTGGTGCTGCTTGTCGGCAATAGAGGGAAATAGGAGATAGAAGGGAGATCAAGCCTCGTAAGAAGCTTCTGGGGGATCAGTTAGGAGGGTCTCCGGTGGGGAATCACTGGAGTAGCAACCACTGGAGGTTCCCCTGCGAAGAGCTTCTGGTGAATCAATGGGAGCAATTTCTTGGGCACTCCACAGTAAGGGATACTGGGGGGTGGACCTTGCAGTGGGTTTTCAAGTGGATTCAATGGGAATCCTGCAGGGACATTGCGGAAGCGTCTCGCTGGAAGGAGCCAACGAGTAGCCCATATAGGAGGGGTTTTAAGTGGACCCGGGTAGGGATGATAGGACATATTGAGCCAAGACAGCAGGAGGGGCATTGGGAGCTATATAAGGGGGTCACATCTTGTCCCATAGGGAGGGACTTCTGGCCTGGAATAACAGACGGACTTCATGGTGTCCTCCTCGTGTCAGACCTATATCTACCGGCTCGTCCAGCCCAAGGCTGGTCAGCCCCTCCAAAGCGAGCCCTCCCAAGCCTCCTCAGGGGCCTCCTTTGCAGCAGTTTGCCAGGGGGAGGTAGGACTACCCCTGCTTAAGTATCTCCCATTCCCCCCCACGATGGCCCCCATCCTCAGCAGAGGCAGTTACACCCAGCAGCCTGTCGAAGGCCCATCTTCCATGGCATTTAGCGTGGCGAGGCTCCATTCTGGCCTAGCGTCCGCACCACGTATGTCCTTGAGCGTCTGCCACGTGCCCTCTCCTTTGCAAGTAATGGTTCAGCCAACCGCCTCCCCCTGCTTAACCCCTGTGGCGGCCTAGCCCTACTATTCAACAAGCCCAAGGTGGCTCGCTGGCAGACTTTCCACTACAGCGCCCCCATCAAGTGCCAAGGAGCCCACAGTTTCCTCTACTCCATCAGCCTCAATCTTCCCTCGCCTTCACAGCCTCTAAAGCTAGCCTCTGCCATGCAACGGGGGAGACGATCTCAGCGATGGGACGTTTTTGCCGGACGTCAAGCTTATTATAACCCACAGTTCCACCCTCTCTGCCCCAGGAAGTGGCCCCAGGCTAGGCCATGTTATCTCATTCCCACCTTCAGTGGATGCCTTGGAATTAAGAGCCTCCCGCTTTTCGCGCACCGAACTCTTGTGAGCCAGGACAAACCCCGATAGTTGCTCAGTGCCAGGTGCCATGAACTCCTGCAAATCCAGATGTTCGGGCGCAACTCAACTCAGACTCTGTCTGGGGCGTCCCGGGCCTTGCCTCTCACGGAGGGCCTATGGCTGCATACATCATCAGATCTAGTACTAAACTGTCGTCTACAAACCCCGTCCAATTGTGAGGATTGTCACCCTCCCT